CTCTCTCTCTTTTTTTTTTTTTTTTTTTTTCACCAGCGACCTCTACTAGAGGGGGTGATAAGAGCAGCCGCCTCTAGTAGCTGTCCCTGGTTGCTCCATCTATTGGTGGGGAGGTGCACCTGCTGGAAACCGGGTCCAGCGTCCCTCCCTGGTTTCCTTTTTTCTTTTTTTCTTTTTCTTTTTTTTCTTTTTCTTTTTTTTCTTTTTCTTTTTTTCTTTTTCTTTTTTTTCTTTTTCTTTTTTTAACTTCGTATACGGGAAACCCACTTAACGAGGTGATAAGAGCATCCCCTCTTAGTAGACCCCGGCATCGAAGGCTCCATCGATTGGTGGGGAGCTACACCTGCTGGAAATCGGGCCCAGCGTCCCTATACAATGATGAAAATGCATCTGCTGGAAATCAGGTCCTGCGTCCGACTGCAATGGTGTGAATATATGTGCCGGAAAACGGGTCCTGCGTCCCTGTCCATCTAGTCTATAGAGTCTCCAAACTAAACTGAGGGATCAATCCAATCGACCGAAACCCTAACCATGATGTGATGTGTATTATAGTGATGTGATTTGTATCTGCTGGAAAACAGGTCCAGCGTCCCTATACCGTGTCGAGTAACAATGTCCCAACAGGCAGAAACTATCTACATATGTCCATATTCTATATCTATCGAAGTATAATCACGAAAGTCTAAGCACTATATGATGTATATGATCTTTTATGGATCAAGCCTAAAAGCATAGCGCTATTAATGATGAGAGATGTATGATCTGAGCGTCCAGTCCAGTATCCAATGTGCATTATCATGTGAAACTGTCAGGGGGCATTGATTACTTCCCTGCGCCGGGAAGGATTGACCTCCGGCTAATTAATCGCTAAACATCCCAACCCCACCCAACAAGACGATCAGGCCCCCGTTGGTGATTCGTATTGCAGGCCGGGCAACGTCAATCACCCCCAGCTATCCTACTCATATCCTCCTCCAAACCACGAGGAGGAACTCCGTACGAAGGTTGGAGAGGGGGAGAGCAGTAAACCACTTCCCTGTATCAACCCCATATCCCACCACGTCCCCTTGCAGCATCCCTCCCATCTCAGCCGCCCGGATGTCACTTCCTACCCCGCTGCTCCCTTGGTCGTGGCCGCCGCCGTCGTCGTCATCGTTGTTATTGCTGTTGTTGTTGTTGTTGTTGTTGTTGTTGTTGTTGTTGTTGCTGTTGTTGTTGTTGGTGGTGGTGGTGTTGTCATTGTTGTCGTCGTCGTCCCTATCGTTGAGGGGGGGGGGATGACAAACCCCTTTTCCGTTCCAACCCCAATCTCCCCTTCATCCGCTTGCGGCATCTCCCCCATCATGTCGCTGATGATCACAACTGCCCGGACACAGCTGTCAGCCCCGCTGCTTCCATAGTCGTCACTGCCGCCGTCGTCGTCGTTGCTGTTGATATTATCGTTGTTGTTGTTTTTGTTGTTGATGATGTTTGTGCCGCTGTTGCTGTTGTTAGTGTTCTCGCCGCTATTATCATTGTTGTCGTTGTTGTTGTCGCACCCATCCATTGCTGTTGTTGTTAATCTTGGTGTTACCGCTGTTACCTCGTGCACGTCCTCACGATCAATGATGCCCTCCAGCCGGTCTTCCAGAAGAGCATACAGATCGCAACCCTCATTGAAGAGGGTTTTGCAGATTGACATGATGCCATTTGCCCTCGTCCAATTGATGCAGACGTCAAGCCGAGGATCCGGCCCCTCCTCCATCTCCCAGATGATCGCCAGCATGTCCTCACTTTTGACCTTCATCCAAACAGCCAGAACGATCGCTCCCCCTTCGACGTGTGGCTCCATTTGCAGCCGCAAAGACATGTACCTCACAATCTCCTGTAGCCATCTGCGTCCGTTCTCCAAGGTAATCAGCCATTCGTTTGCTCCAATCTGTAGCTCCCTCTCCGAATTCTCCTCCATGGTAGTCATGGCTCGCTCAAAGAACCGCGCCACTTTTGTGCAGTAATCCTCCAATCAATCACGGCTGGCGCTTCCCCTGTTCACGCGTCGCGGGGTGTCCACGTCACCAAACGACAGGTGGCATGTGGCAAGCTGAACACCAGGGCCATGTGTCGGGCGGGCTCACCTCCGAGTCTCCAGCACGCTGGTCAAGCCGGGTGCGGCCGGGCCTCGCCAGTCGGCCGGCGTTAGGGCGCTAGCGCTAGCGCGGTTTTTGCCATGGCCTGTGTTTGGTGTTGTGCCCTTGTTTCTACTTAGTGGAGAGTTGGTATTGTGCCCTTGTTTCTACTTTTGGTTTGCTAACTACAGCCCTGCCCTTCAGCCTGGCCGGCGATGCCTCGCTCTTCGGACGAACTGCGAAACGATTGCGAGGGACGCCAGGCCCCTTTTCCTGGCTTGTAAATGGATTTTGGGGAAACTGCGGCTGTGTGACACACTTTTAGTTTGAAATAGGCAAAAGAAAAGACAAAAGTGGCGCCGGTGTCATGGTGTGAGTTTCCAAATGTGCAAGTTTTAATTTAGCGGGGGTCTACACTGTGCCAGTCATTTATTACCCGCAGGGGGGCCTGGCAGATTTTAGGGTCGGCGCCTTTTTGGCTCCGTTTGGGGAAGTGCTAAAGTTGCCTATGCTGAATGTTGGGGGGTTGACTCCAACTCCAACGTACTTGCCCCATTTCTATCTTTTATTTTTTATTTTTTATTTTTTACTTTTTATTTTTCATTTTTTATTTTCAATAAAAAAAAAGCTGCCTTTTTTCTCCTCATCAGGGAACAACCATATATTTTTCTCCCACCTCACGTATCTTTTAAACCACCAGTACTTGGCCCAGCTATCGGCCGCGGCGCTTCCCCGTTAACGCGCCGTGCCTTTAGGGCTTCGGGTTGCCGGACCACAATGGCTGGAAGCGCCAGCCAAAAACAAAACAAAACGGTACCCCGGCGCTTCGGCAAAAATCGGCGCACAGGGGCATTCGAGGCTCGGCATCGATAGCTGGGCCAAGTTCTGGTGGTTTAACTGGAGTTCTTGTTTTTTTTTTGTTTTTTTTTTTTGGAAGAATAGCCCTTGCGATATCCCTCTATCCTGGTGGTGTGGTAATAGAACCATCACAATTGAGGGCTTATCTGTCGGGATGCTCCATCTATTGGTGGGGAGCGGCACCTACTGGAAACTGGCTCCAGCGTCTCATTGATACAACTTACAATACAGATATAATACAGATATTGGTGTTTATTGTTTCCTAGGGCTATGGTGATAGTTGTCTCTTCCCGGGCCTCCGTTGTCCCTTGGAGCTGCTATTTTCCCCCTTCCCTTCATGGAGTACCTCCTTTACTATTAGCCCAGCCTTTTTTTTTTTTTTTTTTTTTTAGCCCAGCCCTAGTTCAGCAGCCCCCCTGAAATGAGAGAGTCCTGTTCTGCAACTCCTCTGTGCAGTGTTACTGTGAGGTGTCCCTTTGAAACCCTTTAAGCCCCTAAACCCTCTCTGTGTCCTTGGAGAACCGAAAAACCACAGAATCGATAAAGCCTGGCTCTGTGGAATGATATGATACCCGCTATCCCCCAGTTTCTTGTTGCTTTTGTCTGTCATCCCCTTTTCAGATCCTCCGCATCCTCCACTCCCCTCTCTTACCGCCCTTCATTGCTCATTCTAGCTCTGAGGGATGCAGGTTGTCGTACCGGTCCTATCTTCCGAAACCTCGATCATCTTGAGGTCCACCAGACTCAAGCCATCCAAGATTCTCAAAGCTGTCCATTTTGTTGTTGCCAACCCTGTCCCTTCCATTCAGGAGCCTTCCGGAGCTTTGGATACTTTCGTTGCCGATTCTGTCTGGTATGGAAGGGGAAGTGAGGGGGTGGGCGGGGGGGTTAGTCGGGGAGGAGGAGGAAGGAGGGGGGGGTGGCTGCATATGGGACGAAGAAATGAGATAGTGGTTTGCAAGTCCACGTATTTCCGTCCCTCCTCCAGTAATTCCATCGTATTTGTGAGTCATGGATGTCCGCCACCGCTTTCGTAGGTTCCAACCACTCCTCTGAGAACCGGATCCTCACTTCCTCTGTTTTCTGTTTCTTAGCCTGAGGGGTGAGGCTCGAGTTATCCTCTATCAACCGCGTTTGGTGTCCCGGGCTGCTTTTACCCTAGCTGTCGGGTAGTTTGTGATGTGTTCTTTGGCTTGCGGGAGCCTGACCGTGTGCTGCTGTCGTTCGAAGGAACAGCGGGCTCGCCAGGCTATCATCGGCAACTTTAGTCTTGTAATTTGAAAGAGGTTCCCTTCATAGGGGGACTAGGTAGCCGGGACGTCCGCCCGGTTCCCTAGGAGCAGAAATCTGGGTAGCCACGGGAACTGGGAGCTTGTGAGGGCCGTCCATGCGGCGTCCCATCACCTCCATATCTGGGAGACCATCACGCAGCCTAATAGGCAGTGTTCCTGTGTCGCTCGGGCGGGCTGGCCTGTCCTACAGCAGTAGCGGCACACAGGCGAAAGGTGGCCTTGCTGTTCAAGGTCTGTCCTTGTGACGAGCCAATCAGGGGTGGGCAGACAGCGGTATAGGATCTGTCACTGGAGTGCCCTGTGTGCCGTCGGCATTATGTGGGTATATTGTGCCCAAGAGAAGTCCCTGAGGTCCTCCGGGGGGACGATTGAGTCCCTCCCCCACCGTCTTTTTATCAAGGCCTCCGTCTGGCAGGTCCTATGCAGTTTGCGGTAATCATGTTTCATGAAATATTGCCAGATTTTGAGGGGTTTGGCCGGGGGAGGCTGTGTCCATTCCCAATCCAATGGGTCAAAGGGGAGAGTGGCCAGGGGGGAGTCCGGTTGGAAGACAGAGAACGTTCCATTCTCCTCTTCCAGAATTCTTACTCTGACGAGACCGCACCAGTTTGAGTCGTGATCAGCTTCTTCATTTCTCAGCGTGGGGGAGCACCTCCCCCCGGGATGGGATATCCTGTACGCTTCTACGGGAACTTGATGATTGGACTTATTTGTCACCCGTCCGACCATTGTTGGTGAGTGGAGCTGTGTCCATTGGACCACCCAGTCCCCCTGTTGGATGGTGGGACCTTGCTTAAGCTGTTGCACCCAGGCCAGGGGGACCGCCTCCTGTAGTTGGCGCAACTTTTCGGTCCTGTCCCTAACGTGTTTGAGTTCGTCTCTCATTTGGTCATCAGATTTCCAAGTAATTCGTTTGAAATCCCATATGTCGGCCACCTGGTAAACCCCCTCGGCCACCCAACCTAACTACCATTCTGCCATGTCATGGAACATATCTTTCTTTCACTACCTACCTATCACTGCTGGGGGAAGATGAAAAGGGAGGGGCACGGTTACTGGCAAATGCTCGGTCCTTGTGTTAGCCGGGACCCCCACCGGCAGCCCCAAACCTGCACCCTAAATGCTAGTGCAAAGGGGCAAATATGTAGTTCTCTCTCTCCACCGAGAGAGGTAACCTCCCTTCACTGAAGAGCGGTAGAAAGCTTCCGCTCTTCAAACGACAAAAACCGGCAACCGGCGAACCCTATGGAAGACTTCATCAGATCCTATGGATATGCTTGCAGGGGTCCCCATAATTTTTATTTTTTTTTTGCTGGTAACTTTCCTTGCCCTTGCCCGGCCGGGCTCAGGCAACCGAGGCGACCGGAGCTCCCTGGTTCCTCGCCCAGCAGGCCATCCCATTTTAATTAATGAACCCAGGCCCCTATTCACCCCCGCTTCTATTGCCATGGAATAGTTAGCCACCATAACTAGAGAAGGTGGGAGACACCCTTCTCAACATGCCACTTCTCCCAAAGTAGACCCCCCCCCCCCCCCCCAGCACACCACCGCCAATTAGGGCGGCGGACCCTGACCACCGCCACTCCCTGACCACCGCCGATTAGGGTGGCGGACACCATGCATCCCCTTCATTGTGAGAGAGGTAGCTATGCTTGCAGCGGTCCCCTGTATATAGGCTTAGGAGTAGTGGTATGTAGATAGTCGAAAGGTGAGACTGAGAAAGTACTTCCAGTTCCATTTCTTTCACCGCGTTGTAGAGAACCATTCTTAAACAACCAGTCCATTACCCAGCCATTTTTCCAAGTTGCGGCTCGCGCGCTGGCGCAACTTTCGTGTGGCGCAACTTTCGTGGGTTGATAGCCTGAGCAAAATGGCTGGCGCCACCCGCCAATACGATGCACGTGCCGGTTCGTTTTTGTCTGGCGCACAGGCCGCTCGAAGCCCTGGGTAGAATTGCCTCGGATGCACTGGTGGTTTACGTCCTGGTCTCTTACTACCACCAAACATTCAAGTCTCTCTCTCACCCAACCCGTCCCCTCCCTTCGACACTCATTCCCCAACTCCCCATCTTTTCGATCCTCGGGGTTTTGTCGTCATCTTTGCTCTCTTGGCCGTACAACATGCCCTCCCTCATATCTTGACCGAAAAAGTAATTTCTGATTTCTATATCCTCGAAAGTCATTTTCCACCCGGCGGTCAACAGCAGTAATGAGATCTTCACAACTTTTTCAACATAAAAAATATAAAAATAATAAAAAACCGCGCCACCTCAAGTGCTTGACCAACTTAGCCTTCCACCTTCGCATCTTCTATCCTTTGCTTACCCCCTCCCTCCCCACCCCCCGCCCTCCGTCTATCAAACTCAATACCTCCTGCACTTCTGTTGGCAATTTCCTCCTAAGGAAAAGGGGAGACGGGGGGGAGGGGGGGCGGAGGAG